TGCAAAAGATTTTAATAGACATTCCACCAAACAAGATATGTGAATGGCTAATAAGCCCATGAAAAAATACTTGGTATCCTTAGTCATTAGGACAGTGCGAATTAAAACCACAATGAGATTACTACTGCACATCCACTAGAATGACTATTTTTTTAAAAAGTAACAAGTGTTGGCAAAGATGCAGAAAAACTACCACCTTCACACATTACCCATGGAAGTGTAAAATGGTACAGCCACTCTGGGAAACCATTTGGCTGTTTCTTACAGAGTTAAACATAAACTTATTATATGACCCAGTAATTTTGCTCTTAGGAATTGACCCAAGAGAGATGAAAACATATGTCCACAGAAAGCAGCATTATTCATTATAGTCAAAAACTGGAAACAATCCAAATATCCATCAACTGGTAAGTGGATGTACAAAATATACTATGTCTACACTGTGGAATATTATTCAGCAAGAAAAATGAATATACTATTCATAAATACTACAGCACAGATTGACCTCAAAAACATCATGATAGATGAAAGAAGCCAGACACAAAAAGTACATATTATATGGTTCTGATTATATGAAATTTCAGAACAGGCAAATTTATAGAGACAAAAAACAAACCACTAGTTGTCTAAGACTGAGATAAGAGCAGAGATTAACTGCAGACAGGCACAAAGGAACTTTTTGGGGTTATGGAACTGTTTTAAAATGGAACTGTAGTGATGATTGCATTTATCTATAATTTCACTGAACATCATTCAGTTGTACAATTAGAATGGGGACATTTTAGGGTATGTAAACTATACCTCAAAACTGTCTAAAAAATGTGAAGTTAATTTTATTTACAATAAGCCTGCAATGTCTGCTTCCTCACACTGTCTCTTCCTAGCATATATGTTAATAGAAACAGACATGTCATATAAGCAGCTTGTTATACTGAGATAGCTTTTTTCCCCTACATCAAGGAAAGAAAATGGAGAAAGTCTCAGAAAAATCTCTTTAGTTACTTGAGGCCCAATATTTTCTCATTATTCTTTGTTCTACCTGGGAATGATTAGGTCTAGAGAAAAGAGGGGTCATGTCTTCCTCTCCAGCTCCATTCTCAGTAACTTTGCACATATGGATGCTTAATTTATGTAGGCCAACTTATCTGGCATGTAGACTACATGAGCTTTGGACTTCTGAAACTTTTAGTAAATAAATGAATCAAAATATCATTGTATTCTCTGAGGCTTCAGTCATACAGCTGAATTCTAAAGATTTTTCTGGATTGAGACAAAATTAGTTCTTTTCTATATATTTTTTCTAAATTTGATGTAAATACTTCCAAATATACCAATTCTTTTCACCTGAAAGAATATAAAGCAGATGAGAAGCATAAGGGGAAGGCTGTAGGGCCACACACTGATCTTGCCACTGTGTTTTGTAGGAAGCACAATGGTGGAATCCCAACCCGCATCTCTAAACACTCGAGATTCTAAATTCATGATCATTAATCTCCACGGGGCCCTTATGCTACTTTACTTTTCTAGTTTGTTCATTTTCCTCAAATCTCCAACATCTCTATTCCTATAACCTCTCTCAGCTGATAACGTTGACTCCTACTTCACTGAGAAAACTGAGGCAATCAGAAGAGAACTTGAACGTCTACCCACCTTACCGGCATCTATGCCCATATCCTCTACCTTCGTTCCTATTAACAGGAATAATGTTATAATGTTATCTGTTCTTGGCCAACCCACCCCTCTCACTTACCTTAAGGATATGACTCCGATAATTCTCCCCCTTTTCTCCCTCATCAGTGTTTTACACTATACCAAATCACTCTCAAAATCATACAAATATGCTATTATTTTTCCTAATGCCTGAAAACTGTTCTTTCTACGGTCTTCCCCATTTTCATTTAATGGCAACTCCATCCTTCCAGTTGTTCAGGTAAAACCATCGATCGTATTTTTTTTTTTTTTCCTTTTTTTGTCTTTTTTCATGACCGGCAACGGATCGCAACCCTCAGTGTCGCGCCCGTACCGGCCCGGGACCGGCAACGGGATCGCAACCCTCGGTGCTGCTCCCTGCACCTCGCTCAGCCAGTGAGCAGGAACCGGTCTGTATGTGGGATCCGAACCCTCAGTGGGAGCGCTGCCGCGCTTCCCAAGCGGCGCACTGTAGCAGTGCGCCACCGGGCCGGCCCCCTCGATCGTATTTTTAACTCTACTCATATTCTACTTCAAGCCATCAGCAAATCCTTTAGGTTCTTCCTTCAAAATATATCCAAAATCCAACCACTTCTTACCACCTCTACCACTACCAACCTGGACAAAACCACTACCATCTTTTGTCTGGACTCCTGCATGCATCGCCCTGGTTCCATTCTTTCTCCCCCATCCCGTTGACCTTTTTTATTCTCAGCACAACAGCCAGAGGGATCCTGTGAGAACATACATAACTGAATAAATTAATGACTTATTCATAATTTTAAAAACACTTTTATAAGCCAATTTTGCTTTCTATTTTTCAAAGGAAATTGGAACGTTTTCTTCCTCAAATTTTCTCTGCTGTCAGGGAGAAAAAAGAAGAAAAAAATAGCGACTATCCAATTTGTTCCCCTAAATAACTTTACTTTTAACTTTCAATAAAGACTTTTTCTCACCCAACGGAGGATGGCCAAAAGTAAGGGAGCAAGGCTCTATAACACCAGTCCCTTAGGTAAAGCAAGGATAGTTGAATGCAACAAGTCTGTGCCCCTTAATCTGACCACCCTCTCCTTACCATTAACTTTCTTTCTTTTTAAAAAGCTCCCTTGATCTCTTCATTGCAACTAAAAAACACTCCTTAACCACCATACACCCTAGCTTTGGGATTTGTCTATTTCTGTTTGATTCTAATTTGGTCATTTGTATTTCAAAATATAGGAAAGGTTGAAGCATTGTTCCAGGGAGACTTAAGTAACAGAAAATAAAAGAACAATTCTCGTGAGTTGAAATTATCAGCATGGTGACTTGGAACCCTAAGTCTACTGAAGAGACTACTTACTTAGATACAAAAGGATTTTTCACTGAAGCATACCATTTCTTAAATTCTCAAGTGCATTTGTGTTTTTTATACTGGAGATCTTGTTCTAAGCTCCAAATGGTAAATTTTGTGAGGCTTGCAGAAGATGAAAAAGATTAAGTAAGAGGAAACATTAAAACACTCAATAGGAATAGTATCCACTCAACTTCAGAGATATTTTAAATGCAAATAAACTCGAGAACTCAGTACTCATAATAAACGTATGAAGACTACTCCTTCCAAGTCTTCTCTGACTCTGTAAATGGCAATGCACCCTTCTTTTGGCTCAGGCCAAAACCTGTGGCGTCATTCTTTCTCCTTAGGTCCTTTGCACTTGCTGTTCCTTCTGCTTGGAATGCTCATCCCCCAAATTACCTTTAGCAGTGTCACCTTTACCACTTTCACATTTCTTCTCAAAGATTCTATCAGTGAGGTCTTCCCTCAATAACTTACTCAAAAGAGTAAACTGCCTCCAACACCACCACTGCTGGCTTCCCTCCTTCACTATTCTCAAAGCACAGGCATACTACAGACCTACATATACCCCATATTTGGCTTATTTTACTTGTTTATTAGTTTACTGACTGACTGTCTCTGGCTACCAGAACATAAGCTCCATGGACAAGGATTTTGTCTGGTTTGTTCACTGCTGAATCTTCAATGAGTAGAGCAACACCTGATACATAGTCAAGAGTCAAATATTTGTATAATGAATGGGAATGACTAAGTAAAACTACAGTATTTGCCTAAGGAAAGGCAACCATTTAATCCTTAAATTATTCACTTATACTCCTCCTAACAAGCTCTACAAGGACAAAAACATTCTTCCTGTTGCAAACAAGTGGTAAGATTTAGGCATAAATTTCAGAAGTAATGAAACATGAAACTACCTGTTCAGTACTTTATAGCATTCAAGATACAGCTCATTCTTTACCTCTATTAACATAAAGCCAGAAATTATTTTAAGAATTACAGGCAGCAGGTGACATCACAGTTTTACACGATATAGTTTCCTTTTAAGTTCACCTATACACACAATCAGGTTCTATGTTAAAGTCATCGGGTTCCTTACTATTTTCAGCTGCCAGCATTAACGACACCCAGATCTTGCCTAATTTTATTGGAAACATGATCTCCCAAGTGTTATCTTATTTTGGATTTCCCAACAGAAACCCAAGCACTTTTTCTGAACTATTAAAATATTTAAGCATTCGAAAAAGTGCTTCAACGAACCATCTCTGCCTGATATACTGAGTTGACTACTAGTCGCATTGCCACCAAACGAGTTCTTAGATTCAAACAGAATTAATGTTTCAAAAATGTGAAAAGAGTAAATGAAAACAATTACATTAATGTTAACCAACAATGAGGAGTGGTGACTGACATTCAAGGAAAGAAAACTGTCAAGTGTTGGTAGATTATTTTCTAGAAGAGTTATCAGAACTCTTTCTCGACAATCAAGTATACCAAAAGTCTGTACAAAGTTCACAATTTATTTTCTATAGCTTTGCAGAAAAAAAAAATTTAATACTGACTCTTGAGAAAATTAATATGGCGTGATTTCAAAATCTGTGGTTTGCCTGCATGTTCAGCTAATTTATAAGCGCTAAAATAGAGCTAAAATCAGTCTGTTCCACTTCACTTCCACGATTTGTATGTTACTAAGTTCTTAGGCAACTTCGTGCAACTGCAAAGAAAAAAAAAAGAAGTAATTCAAAAGCAATGAAAACAATGCACTCAGACGACCTCTCTCGTTCTAACAATAGCAGTGAGAACCTCTACCCAGGTTGCTCAATCACAAGAACTGCAAGAATTCTAGCAGTGGTTAGGTTCTTCCACAGCAAAGGACACCGTCAAGGTCTGCCTTGTATCCGTCACTCTCACACATCCACGACCTCCGTCATCCCAATTCCCCTGAAAGCCCGGGCCTCACTGGGCCTGGGTGACCTCTCACCGTCGTTGCACTTATACTGGCAGAGCCCGTCCTCGCCTCCCAGGAGGTCCAAGGCGGCGTTCAGGATACTATGATACATCTTGTCACATGTCACTGCTGAATCCACACTACGTCTACCCCACTTCTCAGACCCAAGAGTCTCTAAACCCTGCCAAAGGAGAAGATAACATGACTTGTTCTTTAGCAGGCCAGTCTTCTCCCACTCCTCTGCAGGGACCCCCTACCTGGGCCGGCGGCCGCCCCTATGCGCCTGCGCAGAGCGTGCCGCGTCAGAGGCGCGCGGGGAAGGGGGAGCGCGGGGCGGGGCGGCACCACGCCCACGCGGTCGTCTGGCGCGCTCCCGGGGCCCTCCGTCCAGGCTCACTACAGATTACCTGAGCCGGCCTTACAAAAGTACTCATTCCTCGGCCCCATCCCCCGGGAGCCTAAGTAAATTGGTTCAGGGGTACCGGTGTTTAAAAAAAAAAAAAAACCCTCCCGTGGTTGTACAGGGCAGCCAGAGTGCAGGACGGACCCCAGTGGTTTATCCTGACCTGGCAGGGTTCATCCCCGCCACCCCGACGTTTTGGGGGGTGTGGGCAACTTCGGAGAATTGAGCCTCTTGCAGTGAGCGCTGCGAAGGTCCAGCTGAGGTTTCGGATTGAAAACGTGATTCTGCGCAGCCTTATAACACCAAGATCACGGGTTCAGATCCCAGTAGCGGCCAGACACACACACACACACACACACACACACACACACACACACACACACACACACACTCTCTCTCTCCCTCCCTCCCTCCCTCTCTCTCTCTCTCTCTCTCTCTCTCTCTCTTCCAAGAAAAGAAAATGTGATTCTGTCGTAGACGTGGGCGACTCTGGATCTTATCTTGCATTGCTCAGGTTCGCTTTCTCCAGTCCGGGCCTGGTTCTAAAGACCCGCAGTGGCCGCTGTTGGGGGAGCGGTGATGGATCTGGGGGATGTCATCCCAAGGCTATTTTAACCAGGATGAGCTAGATGCTGGTTTGTATTTTCTGTAAGAAAAAAAAAAAAAATGGTTTGACAGTAAAAACCACAAATTTCCTTCCCTGATCTGCAAATAAATGCGGTAAAAAATCGTAATCAAGGAAATCACCGTTTTTCTACTAAGATATTTTGTAACTGAATAGTTCTAGTGACGTTTCCCTGTATTTTTCCTCCCCAGCGCTGTGCAGTATCCATAAATAACGATTGCAGTACTTTTTACCAGAGCTATACATATCTGGTTATCTTAGTATCCCAGCAGTTTTCAATAATTTTACGGTATGATTTAGGGCAGTGTTGCAAGTGTTGGGAATAGATGCGTCCTTTCTATGAGAATTACCAATATATTTTAGTTTGGCTATTTGTGTTTGTTACAAACCTCATGGGTTTATAATAAATGTGCGTGTAGAGTTCATAAAAATTACATACCTCTTCAGAGAGTGCTTACTATGTGCCAGGCACTTCGGTTCATGATCTCGCACATTCACAACACCGTTTTACAGAGGTGCAGCCCTTGGGCAAGTAAGAAAGAGAGAAAAGTCTCCCTCCCTCCTGTAGGCTGGCTTAGTGGATACCCTGCTGGACTTTAGTCTACAGCCAGACCCTCAGCCAGGCATCCTGGGCTGTGATCAACTCCTACCACAGTGGAGGAAGGGGAGGAATGTTCCTGGAAGGTATTATCTTTGTTACAGTGAAGGAGTCAGAGGTGAGAAATCATATGACAATATCCAGTCAAACCAAGGCCTCTATCTGTCCTCACAAGATGCCAAAGATTTTTAAAAATTAATTAATTAATTATTTTCTTTGGTGGCTTAAACAAAAGGCATTTATTTCTTAGAGTTCTGGAGGCTGGGAAGTATGAGATCAGGGTGCCAGCATGGTCAGATTCGTGCTTAGGGCTCTCTTCCCAGCTTGCAGATGGCTGTCTTCTCGCTATGTCCAGCTATAACAAGTGTTGTTACACTGAATTCATGTAATATATGTGATCCAGAAAACAGTCCAAGCCTGCTGTTTAATATACTTCCATACTGGTGACCTTAAATTACTTTCAGAGTCTAGGAGGTCCAAAGTCCAGGGAACATAGCTGGTGAAAGCCTCGGTGGTGGCAACAGTGACCCAGGGGTCTCACATTGCAAGATGTGGAAGCAGAGAGAGAGTTTTTAAAAAAATTATTGGACAGCACTTTACAACACATTTAGAAACAGCAACATAAAATCATTTTCTTAGCTTCTGGAAAACTGGTTTTCTCATCTCTGAAGTGTGGATGTTGGACTAGGTTACTTCTGAGGTATCACCTAGCTCCAACATGGGAATCTTTAAACAGACTTGGTTCAAGTCTTCCAGAAAAACTCCTTGGTTCAGGAATAAATCTTCCAAAAGAAAGGACAGAATGTAGTAAGATAACCTGGTTTCAGTCTCATTTAAGACCCAAAGCCTCTCCTTTTTTTCCTTTTCTCTCTACATTTACTCCTGGCCTTATCACTTTCTAATTTCTTATAGCCTTATTGCTGCAGATTCAAACTTTGTCTTCTATTTTCTCATCTCTCCTCCAGGATTAAATTCTCAAATGCCAGTTCCTCTGGCTGATGGAACTGCTCTCTTTTTCTGTCAAGAAAATCTCCTTTTCCACTGTGTTCTCCCATGGGAATCCCCACTGTACTTCTAGAACAAGGGTTTATGTTTTCTTTTCTTTTCTTTTTTATATTCAGTGATTAGATATTTGTTGTTCTGCTGCAGTAATTCCAAGATTTACTTTTTCCTCTTAATTCCTGCTGTCAAATGCCAGTGTTTGATGTTGACCAGAGACCAACTACATAATTTGCAGGAATAGGTGCAAAATAAAAATGCAGGGCCCTTTGTTCGAAGTTATTAAGAATTTAAGGTGACAACAGCAGAGTGTTAAGTGTGGACCTCTTTTGAATGTGGGGCCTTGTGCCACTGCACAGGATGCATGCCCTGAATGACCGTATCTTACAACTACTTCTAGATGACCCACTTCCATCTTTTCTTCTCAATAGTAGCATGAAATGTTTGAAAAGAACCTTCTATACAGGGCACTATCATCTAATCAGTAAAACCTGTTATTTTTGTGGCGTTGGTTGCAAATCCACAGCTGTCTTCCAGGCCTGTCCTGCTAGATAAAATGGCTAGTTTGTCTCTATATATACTTTACTATGGGGGAGCAGGGGCTGAAAATAGGAAGCCAGGTAGGACACAATAAACCAGGTAAGATATTAGTATGGCTTGGCCCAGGGAGGGAACAATGGAGGTGTGAAAAATGGTCACATTCTAGATGTAACTTGATGGTAGTGCCAAAGGGATTTGCTGATGGATTGAATATGAGGGAAAGAGGAATCAGGGATGGTGCTGAGGTTTTGACCTAAGCAATTGGAAAGGTAGAGAATTTTCACTAACTGAAATGGGGAGGATTGTACAGGAGCAGGTTTTGGGGAAAAATTTAGGAAATTAATTTTAGGCATACCGTGTTTGAGAAGCTTATTCTGAGCCTGCAGTTCAAAGGTGGGATAAGGGTTAAAAATAAATTTAGAAGTTGCCAGGATAGGAATGGCTTCTAAAGCCATAGCACTAGATGAGATTCTCTAAAAAGTGGGTGTGTAAAGAGAAGCAGAACAAGGTCTACGTCTTAGGAGGTCAGGAACTAAGTACGAGTAAAGGAGACCAAGAAGGAGCAGTCAAGTGCAGCAGGAGTAGAACTAAGAGAGTGCTGTGTTCCATTGTGTCAAAGAAAGACAGAATGACCAATTCTGCTGATGTGGGGAAGGTGAGGACTGGATGTGCACCACCTGTTTTAGTGACTTGGAGGTTATTGATGAACTTCACAAGACAAATTTCATTGGAGTACTGGGGACAAAACACAATTGTAGTCAGGAAGAAAAATAGAAGATGAATTGGGACCAGCAATTATAGTGGGTATTATCAAAATAAAATTGTGAAAATATAAAATATACTATATTTGTGTTGATTCTTGTTTGAGCTATATGAGTACCTTGGAATGGGATCTGCTGGTGGCCAAGACTAGGCTGTATTTTCTTTATTATTATTATTTTTTTGGCACCTGGGCAGTGCGGGGATCTGAACCCTTGACCTTGGTGTTACAACACCTTGCTCTAACCAACCGAGCTAACTGGCCAGCCCTAAGTTGTATTTTCTATACAGAACTTCCCAGCACAATAATAAGCACAGTCAGCTATCTCTTCTAGAAACCACTATTGGGTTTCTATACAAGGACATCACGGAATGTGATGGTATTAATGAGGTGAGAATGCAAAGTTTTTTGGGTTTAATGTAATGTATTAACTTAGAATACTTGGAAACTAAGACATTATGCAGTCCTTTGTGTTATTTACAATAACACAAAATCAAAATACCAATGATCAAGGACAGTGCTTTGGGTTACGTCCCCCCAGAACTTAACTCCCATTTTAACGGTTGTTGTGGGTGGGAAGTCCTATTATGGTAATTGAAAGGTGGGGCCTTGAAGAGGTGATTAGATTGTAGGGCCATGCCATAGTGAATGGATTAAAAATGGTGATCAGGGGCTTGATTCTGAGGGCTTTAAAAGGTGAGTGCATGAGGAGCTATCTCTCTGCTCCCTCTGCTCTGCCATTTTTGCAACGTGATACCCTGCCATCGCTGAAGTCACCACCAAAGAAAGCCTGCACCAGATATGTTTGCTGGACTTTAGACTTCCTATCTTCTGAAACTGTAAGCAATAAATTTCATTTTTTTAAAATACCTGGTTCCCAATTAATTTCTCTTAAATTAAATGCTAGGTTCCAGTCTCTGTCTAAAAAATCAATTACATGAATAGGTTTCAAGATAGGACAAAGTAAATTTTAAGTAACAAATTTCATTTTTTAAAATAAATTACCCAGTTCCCCCCAATTTTTTTGAAATAAATTACCCAGTTCTGTGTATTTTGTTATAAGCAACAGAAACAGACTAATATCCATTTCTGTTGCTTATAGCAAAATACCGAGAACTGGGTATTTGTAAAGAAACAATATTTATTTATTACAGTCTTGGAGGCTGTGTAGTCCAAAGTCCAGGGGACATATCTGGTGAGGGCATTCTTTGGTGGTGATCTCAGCAATGCAGGGTATCACATTGTGGGAAAGGCAGAAGCAAGAGAGAGAGCTTCTCATGAGCTCTCCTTTTAAAGCCAACAGAACCATGCGCATGACCACCGTTAAACCATCAAATGGATTAATCCATTTACTATGGCATGGTCCTCATAATCTAATTGCCTTTTCAAAGCCCTACCTTTCAAAGACCATAATAAGATTCACCACCCTCAATAGTTACAGTGGGGATTAAGCTTCAATGAGTTTGGGGAGACATTCAATCCACAGCATAGTCTTTTCCATCTCACTAAATGGCCTCAGCAGTGTTATTATGATGAAAATAAATGCCATGTGGTGAAATAATTTCAGCTATATGATCAATCTTTGCCCAGTGCTAAGAATGGGAGGTTAATCTCTAAAAGGGAGCTCTAATTCAAGGGAAATAAATGCTGGGTTCCAGCCTCTGGCTAAAAAGTCAATGGCATGAATAGATTTCAAGATGGGACAAAGTAAAATGCTATGTGACTTTGAGGCTAGTTCATAAAAGATGACTCAACTTCCTCTGGCTCTCTGTTGGGACACTTGCACTTGGAGCCCAGCCACCATGCCCTGGAGAAGCCCAGACCATATGAAGCTTCATTTCTGGCTGAGATTACAGCTGATAGTCAGCACTAACTTGCCAACCATGTAAGTGAGCCAGCTTGGATGTGAATCTTCTTGCCCTTAGTCAAGATTTTTTCAGCTGATGCCATGGGGTGTAGCACACGGAGTTGCCAAGCTCTGCCCAAATTGAAGATGCATGAGCAAAACAAATATTTTGAGCCACTGAGTTTTGGAGTGATTTGTTATACAGTGCTAGGATAATTGGAATAGACTGTCTTATGCAGTTGCAGTCATATGGTGGTGTAGGGTTGAGTATGTTGTGCCTTGCTATTCCTTCACGTGGCCTCTCTTTTTAGAATGGTAACCTACATTCCTTTTGTGGCAGCTCAGGGCTCTAAAAGGGAGGAAGCGAGAACTTCCAGGCCTTTTTAATGCCTGGATTTGGATGTCCCAGAGTGTTACTTCATCCACAGTCTATTGGCCAAAGCAGTCACAGGCCCTGCCCAAATTCCAGGGAGGAGACATAATCTCCACCTTTCTGATGAGAGGAACAAGGAATGCCTATGTATACGGGAAAGAAAGGAATTGATGGTAACTATCTTCGCATCTCCCATTAGAATGTTAGATCTGTGAGGGCCCCAACCTTGTCTCTCATGTTCACCACTGAATTTGACACATGCTATCTGTGAAAATATTTATTGCAAAAATGAATAAATATATAGTGTAAAAGTGAAAAAAAAAAAGATGGGACAAAGTAAAGAACAAGAGATGGCTGCACCACATT